CAGCAGGAATTTCCTCATGGAAAGGCCCTGGCAGTGCCCAGGGAGGTTTGGAGTGCCCATCTCTAAAGGGATTTCAAAGCCCTGTGGATGTGGCACTTGGGGACGTGGGCAGTGGTGGCCCTGGCAGGCCTGGGGATGGTTGGGTGTGATTGTCTGAAATCTTTTCCAACCTGAACAATTCCCTGATTCTCCTCAGTGACTCAACAATGCTCAGAAAGGCAAAGGAGCTTTGGCACCCAGGAAGAGCTTCAGGTACCTCCTGTGCTGCCTCATTTCATGGCAGGAGGGGCAGAAATGAGCAGAGCCTTTGAGATTTATCCCACTCGTGGGCTCTGTTGAGCTTTGTGTCCTGAAGGGCCAAAACCTCCCTAATGCCAAGATTTGAGGAGCAGGGCTGTAAAACCTCCACTGGGGAGATATCCTGTGAGGAACAAGAAGAGCTATAGGACGGTGTTACCTGGTTTTCCAGGTTTATCAGGGATGCCAGACTGCTCCACATCTGTGAGCAGCTGGAGCTGGGCTGGTTTTTCCCCCTTATTTCCATCAATTAAACAACTGGGATTACTGGGGAAACACATCTGGATTGGAGGCTGCCCTCCCGAGGCCTGGGAAGGGAGATGGAGCGCTGCAGGAGGAGCTTGGCTGCATCCCACGTTCTGCACCACCCAATATTTGGAATTCAGCGTGGGCTGGGTGATCCGAGCTGTGCTTTAATAAACCTCACAAGCCCCGGAGTGTGAAACCACTGGCAGCTCCTGACGGGGTGCAAACTCCAGGCTGTTACCTCGTTAAAATCTGCGTTTCCTGGGCGCAGGCGGGGTGGTAGAAGGTGAGAACATGGCTGGTGGAGCAGGAAGGGAACGGCTTTTGAAATGGGACTGGCTGGACTGATGAAATCAATTAATTAAAAATACTCATTTTTCAAGGATTTCCTCTCCAGCCCGTCCTTCAGAGGGGTTTTGTTGTGTAACAGGGCAGAGTCCAGCCCAGGCAGAGCCCTCCGAAGGCTCTCGGCAGGACTTCAGCCTCTGGGTTTTCCTTCCACGCTGGGCTCATCTACCCCGTGACTCCTAATTAGCTCTTTGTCTATAACTGTGCCTTGTCATGATGAGTGATTAATGAGTGATTCATCAATAAGGGCTTTTCTCCAGGCAGTTATTCCTGGCCTGGCATAGCTGGAGCAGGCACCCATGGATTTAGGCTCAGTTCTCAAAGGGTGGCACCAGGTGCTTTTCAGATGAAGGATTAGTTTGGATTAGGAATAAGGCAGGAGATTTTTATGGAGGGGGTGACAAATAAATTCCTGTCTCTGAGCGCAGGACTGTGGAATGTTCCCGTGTTTAATAGGAGGAGGCTCATCCATTAAGGAGAACTGGAACCCTCCGTGCTGTTTTTATAGTGACAGGTGTTGGTGAAGAGATTGGGGCTGGATGGATTCTTTAAATAAATTCTTTTTTTTTTTTAAACTATCTCTAAGCTGCAATTCTGCTGCTAAATAAGGATTGCTAATGAATGTCCTGACAAGCAAAGATCACATCTATTCCCAAGATTTTTTCCAGTCTCCATCTCCTCACCGCAGCTTTGGTTCTCTTCAGATTCTGCTGGGCTTTGAGACTCTGCCTTAACCATCATCGTGGTATTTAAGGTGATGTTTCTGGGTTACTGAATCAGCTCCTGAGTTCATAAGATCCCAGAAAGATGGAATGGTTTGGGCTGGGAAGGGACCTCAATCCCACCCAGTGCCACCCCTGCCATGGCAGGGACACTCCCACTGTGCCAGGCTGCTCCAGCCCCAGTGTCCAGCCTGGCCTTGGGCACTGCCAGGGATCCAGGGGCAGCCCCAGCAAATCTGGGAATTCCAGACAAATCCCAGCCAGGAATTCCTTGCCAAGATCCCAGCCCAAGCTCCCCTTTCCCAGTGGGAGCCATTCCCTGGCTCCTGTCCCTCTGTCCCTTGTCCCCAGTCCCTCTCCAGCTCTCCTGGAGCCCCTCCAGGGACTCTGAGCATTCCCTGGATTTTTCCCTTCTCCAGGGGACCATTCCCAGCTCTCCCAGAGCAGAGGGACTCCAGAGTCCTGGAATCATTTCCACGACCTCCTCTGGGCTCTCCAGCAGCTCCAGCCCCTCCCTGTGCTGGCACCCCTGAGCTCAGGGCTTTAAAACTGCTACAGGTGGTGGCAGAAGTGCTGACTCTTCCTCAAAATAACTGTAGAAAACTCAGAATCCTGGAAAGGACGGGTGGAAATCTCTTCCATGGGTCCTGCGAAGGTGGGTCTGAGACCACTCGTGAACAGCCTGGAGCTGATTCCTGCCCGTCCATGAGGGATCTCTCCATGAAGCAGAGCCTGACCTGACCCGTGTGGTGTCCCCCTGGCCTGACCTTGGGGAGAGCTGCAGTGGCCACAGGCTGGAGAGAAGTGGCCACTCCTGCCTGCTTCTGTGGACAGTGGGATGTTGGAATAACACTGCTCCAGCCCTCAGGTCTTTCCTGGTGTAATCCCACCCCTGAGCACCCAAAACTGAGCGGAGGCAGAGACCCTGCAGGGCTCTGGGCCATCCAAGGGAAATGCTCCCTGCCAGGAGAGCCCCTGATCCAGGCTGGCCATACCCAGCCATCCTGGAGTGAAATCTAAAGCCCAGCACGGATCTGGAGCCGTTCCCTGTGCTCCAGAGCAGATTTCCCCGTTTCCCAGCGGGGTGGATGAGGTGGGAGCGTGGCTGCTCCTCCAGGACGGGAATGAAATCCCACCAAAACCCCAGACTGCTCCCCAGAGCAGCCCCGGGCTGGCAGGGCTGCCAGGGAGCTGGAGCTGCTGGAAAACGCTGCAGACAGAACAGGAATTAGAGGAGAAAGAAGTGAAAATGAGCTGGCAGAATCCTGAGGTGACTCATCAGGTGCATCTTGTGAAGTCTCTTTGGAGAAGTAATGAAACCGCGTGTTCTAACAATATTTGCACTGCAGCAGGGAAAGGCATAAATATTGGGATCAATTAATGAAATTAGAGAATTTGACCATAAAAGCCCTCGTGCTGGCTCAGAAACCATCCCTCTTCCTTTTTGCTGGTGTCAGTGCCTGCCGTTGGAGAGGAAATCCCGCAGTTGCGTTTCCCACCCGGCGCAGAGGAGACCTGGGCAGCTCTGGGGTCCCCGGGATGTGCTGGGGAGCCCCAGGAATTCCCCCTGACCCCCTGGAAGTTCTGCAGCTGGCGGGCAGGCAGGGAGCTGCTGGCTGGCTGGGCCTGGAGCCCCCTTCCCTTTGGATTTTGGGATGTAGACCCACCTGGCCTTCAGCACCCGCGAGGACGGTCCTTTGTGTGCCCCAAACTGTTTTCCACCTGGGAAAGGGGGAATGGTGATTTTCCTTAGGAAGGGAATTTTTCCTCAGGACAGCTCCTGTGTGTGTGTGACATTTCAATCCTCAGGTCCTCACCACAGGCAGTGGAGCTCATCACAGAGCTTCATTTTGGAGCGTGGCATGAACTGGGAGTGAAATTTGGGGTTGTTGGTATCAGTGGGTCAATTAATGCGGTTTTTAGCAGGTTAATTGCTTTATTCCAACAGCATTTAAATGGATTTATATTTAGGACTAGCAACAAACCCGGGGTGAGGGAGGGGGCTTAGTGAACACCCTGAACACCTGATGTGGAGCTCCTGGGTGGGTTTTGGTGGGGAAACGGCGAGCCAAAAAGAGCCATCACCATCCTGGGCTGTGGCAGCAGCAGGAGCAGAACTCCCCAGGTTCTCCTGGCCCGGGATTGGCTCCGGCACAACTCTCCTTGGAATAATTCCCCTGGATCCTGGCGGCCTCCACGCAAGAGGATGTTGACAAATTGGAGAGGAGCGAAGGAGCCACGAGGGTGGGGAGAGATTGGCAAAGGAGCCTTGCCAGGGAGGCAGCCAGGCTCCTGGCTCGCAGGGAAATTGTGGGTTCGAGATGGAAATGGAGCTTAAAGGGCGGCTCTGCAGCTCCCTGAGGGCAGAACAGGCCCCGACTGAGGTCTGGGCCGAACACCAGCTTGTGACAGCAAAACCCAGCAGTGCTGGACCACTGCAGAGCCTGGTTCCCACCCTCTCTGAGCGATGCACATCATCCTCTGCTGGGCTGGGGGTGATAATTCGGGTTTAGGGGTCACCCGTGCAGGAATCCCCCCTGCCCTGGGGAAGGAAGGGCGAGCCCTGGGGCTCTGTCTGTGCCCGGGGGCTCGGGGCTCGGGGTCTCCTCCTCCCGCGCCTCTCCGGGGATGTTTCCTCCTCCAGCCCCACTCGTGGAGCCACATTTGGGGCTTTTGAAGCTGGCAGGAGGCAGCAGGGAGGGTTCTAAACCAGATTTTTCCTCCCTGTGCGCGTTTCTCGGCGCATTTAAAACCGAGAGCTGGTGGCTGTTTGTTCTGTTTGTTGGAAGGCCGGGGTTTATCTGAGGAGCTCCTCGTGTTCTCTGCAGGGCTTGTCCCACCTTTGCAGGGACTGGATTTCCGCAGGAAGCTCATCCAGGGAGAGCCTGTGCTAAATTTACCTTGAGATCAGCGTGCAGCAGAGAATTCGGGGTTTGTAAAGCTCTGAGGTCTGGCTGTTCTCGTTCTTTCTTCCCATTTAATACAAGTTTAATGTCGTGTCTCGCTGGCCGCTGCCCACGCAGGTGTGAGGGAGCTCAGGTGTGTAAAGAGTCTTTAAATCCATCCCGGGGGGCTGCAGAAAATGAGATTTTTATCTCAATCCCTTGTATTTGTTTATAACAGCAGTTAAAAGATGAATATTTGGGATAAAACTACACTGGTGGGGTTTTTTTTACATTTAATGTTCTCTTTTGTTTTTTTCCAGCTGTGGGGAGCTCAAAAAATCAAACAGGTAATACACTTTAAAAAATATTTCAATATCTATTATTTTCAAGTGTTGCTGCTTTTTCCTGTCCTCCCTCGTTCCCTTTGCCAGTTGCTGTTTTGTCTTCCCATGGAAATGTAAATGCAGAGCACACTCTGCCACCAAAGAGCCTGATTTTTTTTGATATATATTTATATATTTTGATGTCTTCATTTTCTCCTTCCTGTCTAGTCAAGAGCTTTCTTGTCTCCAGTTTTTTGCAAATAGTTTGACAGTTCCTTGGGAAGGTTTGTGCCTGTGCTGTACCTTCCTCCCTGCACTCCCAGATCCCTTGGGAATTGATTTCTCCTTCCCAGTGAATTCCAGTGCAGCCTCCTGGGCCTGGCAGAAAATGTGGGGGGCAATGTGCTGAAAATGGGCCCAGTGAGCGTTGCTGCTGTTGATCAGTAAAGCAGATTTAGGTTTTTTGGGGAGGTTGGGATCTCCAGAGGCACCAGGGCTGGCTGAGGAGCTGTGGGGGCACATCAAGGTTGGAATTCCTGGAAAATCCAGAAATTCCCCAGGTCCTGTGTGGGGTTTTTTGGGTGTCCCCTATGGGGCCATCCAGGGAGGGCTGGACCTGCCTGTTGGTGTCCCAGCTCGTGCTGGAGCAGGGGGGAGAAGGTTCTGGAATGGGATTCATACCTGGAGATGGGGAGAAGGTTCTGGAATGGGATCCACTTTGTGAGAAGGTTCTGGAATGGGATCCACACCTGGAGTGGGAGAAGGTTCTGGAATGGGATCAACACCCGCAGTGGGAGAAGGTTCTGAACTGAACCCCCCAATGGTGTTTTGGCCTCGGGGGTTTTGGGGTCTCTGCTGTGACCCCTCTGCTTCCCCTGCAGGATAAAGGGATTTTTCTCCTCACCCTCCCCATCCCTCTGCCACGGCCAGGGCTTTTCCCTTTTTCCTACCCGACATTTCAGGATGTGGTGGAGGACATATCAGGACGTTTCAGGACGTTTCAGGACATTTCAGGACGTTTCAGGACGTTTCAGGACATTTCAAGACATTTCAGGATGTGGTGGAGGACATTTCAGGACGTTTCAGGACATGGTGGAGGACATTTCAGGACATTTCAGGATGTTTCAGGACATTTCAGGACATTTCAGGACATTTCAAGACATTTCAGGATGTGGTGGAGGACATTTCAGGACATTTCAGGACATTTCAGGACGTTTCAGGACATTTCAGGACCTGATGGAGGACATTTCAGGACATTTCAGGACCTGGTGGAGGACATTTCAGGACATTTCAGGACGTTTCAGGACATTTCAGGACATTTCAGGACGTGATGGAGGACATTTCAGGACATTTCAGGACCTGGTGGAGGACATTTCAGGACATTTCAGGACATTTCAGGACGTTTCAGGACGTTTCAGGACATTTCAGGACATGGTGGAGGACATTTCAGGACATTTCAGGACATTTCAGGACGTTTCAGGACATTTCAGGACATTTCAGGACGTTTCAGGACGTTTCAGGACGTTTCAGCCTCGGTGGAGGTGCTGAGAACAGGCAGGGCCAGAAAATCCTTCTCCTTTTGCCTCCTCAGGCTGCGTTTCCTGGGGCTCAGGTACAGCTGTGGGTGGCTTTTGGGGACACAGCGCCAAGAAAAGGCCACTCTTTGTACGTGAGGGCCAACTGTTTCCTCCTAACCGATGACACGATGCTCCTGAACGTAAATTTGGAATGGGATTGCATTGATTACTGCCGGGGAGGGGTTCTGGGGGGCTGCTGAGCCCCGAGTGCCTCTGGTGAAAGCGAGGGGGGTCCCGGTGGGGGAGATTGGGGGGCTGGGTGCTCACGGGGGGTTTTTGGGTGGCTTTGCTGTGCCCGGTGCCCTCACTGGGGCTCCCCGGGGACACTTTTGCAGGCCATCATCCACCCCGACACTAACGAGACCATCTTCATGCCTTTCCGAATGTCAGGTAGGAGCGGCCCGGCCTCTTCTCTTGGAATCCGGAGAAAATACCGAGGGGCGGGGGGTCTCCTCTGTGTGAACTGAACCTCGCCAACATTTAGACCAAGATCAGGAAGCAATTCCAACACCAAAATCCCTTTGCAGGCGAGGAAAATGACGATCCTAAATTCCACCATGAGATTTAGTGCTTAATATTCCTTTTTCCTTTTTCCTTTTTCTTTTTTCCTCTTTCCTTTTTCCTTTTTCCTTTTTCTTTTTTCCTTTTTCCTTTTTCCTTTTTCCTTTTTCCTTTTTCCTTTTTTCCTTTTTCCTTTTTTCCTTTTCCCCTTTTCCTTTTCCTTTTCCTTTTCCTTTTCCTTTTCCTTTTCC